CAGGTGAATGTATGTGAAGTGAGCGCGAAGAGCCGCACATACGGCACGCTACGCTCCTGCGTACTCCGGCTAAACGCGATCTAATTGATTAACTTTATTCGTTAATAACTCTGTAAATAATGATCTGAGCCAAAATTGAAAGAGGAACTTTTAGTTCAAAATTTCATTCTCTTTCACGCCTTGAAATATTAATTAAGCGTTACGGGACACCCTGTATATAATTTATATCCATAGGGCGTTGTATATCCAGAGGACATCCTTTTTAGATACCACGGACGTCCGCTTTATGTCCCGGTTTAATATAAATGTAATTGTTATACTATGAAGAATGTTTTAGTACTCTTATTTCAATAATTTTTACATATATTCTTATAATAATTAAATATAATGAGCGATGTTTAGCAAAGGAACGTTATACGAAATATATCCCGGATTTTGATGTCAATTTTGTTCGTAATTCTAGAGACAAATAATATTTGTGCCTTAATTTGCGTTAGTGCCAATGCATCTAAAATTTTCCAGTTATGAATTTTTAAAATTTTAAAATTGTTAACTTATGCAGTAGCGACCGGAGAAACTGAACCTACATACCTTTTTCAAATGTTTTATTTTTTTGCCTTCTACAATGTCGAAATTGATATCCAATATTTTACTTTTAAAAACTCAATATTTATAATGCAATTTTTTATTTAAAAAAATCATTTTGTTTATGTTAATACGGAATGATGCTGGGTTTTACTTTTTATGACAAATAACATAAAAACACGTCTTGCCTCTGAGAATCTTTATTCGCCATCTTGGCTACTTCGCTCCTCATGCAGATCACGCTGGCTAACAGCCAATCACAAGTAAAGAGGGCGCCGCAAGTAATTACATGAAAATGTGCATGAACATGCCCCCCGGCATTGAAAGAATATCTTTCAATTAAAATAAAATTTTAACTGAACGGACTGTATTAATGAGTATAATCAGCATGACTGTAGTAAACATGATTAGGTGCATTGATTCTAGCGTTACTTAATTGACATAACAAATAATGTGAGCTATAATTATAGCATAATAATCCTTGAAAACAAACTTATGAATCTAGATGAAACATTATCTATAAACTATATAAAGATACTGTAACGCAATATAATCCGAATTTAGATATAATACATTAGGTACAGTTTTCAATAGGTAGCGAACAGAGTTTCGCGATAGTGATGTGTACAGTGCTCGTAGAAGTCTTCACGGTAGCTACTCGAACTACCTGGGGTGCGTTCCGTTTCACGCATAGATCGCATCAACAGCATCAGCAATGCGCAATGCATTAATGTCGTTTCGTTTCGTTGATGCGCATAATGCGCGATGAAAACGGAACGATTCTTGATGCGTTGATTGTAAACAAAAATGGACGCTCCCGCTGAAAAAACGTTATTAACCTTAAGCACATGTTTGTCAATAAAAAATGTTGAAAGAGAATTGAATAATGTTTTAAGTGAAAATAGCGATTATACTGACACCAGTTCAAACAAAAGTCAAACCGATGAACAGGATGATTTGTCATCAAACATTGAGATGCAAATAATATATGCTGCGTTAATGATTGGCGAAACACGGGGGAGACCTTCGTCATTGAAAAAATCGATTACGTGGAACGAGTTATTCCTAATTACTCCAAAGCAGTCTTCAAAGAACATTTTCGGTAAATAATATATATATTTATGTTGAAAAATAAATTGGGATAATTTAAAAAAATGAATACATAACAATCACCTACATTTTTCTTTAATTGATTACTTACAATTAGAGCTGAATAGAGCTTAAAATAAATCCATTTTTATTTTAGAATGTTTCCTGAAACTTTCGAAATAGTTCTAGCAACAAGTGGTCCAGGATTACGAGCAATTAACAATCTCTCAGGGAGAAAACAAATATCAGAGAGAAA